GGGCCGCGCGCGCGTTTCATTCGATTTTCGCGTTCCGGAGAGGGAAAAAGAAAATGCGAGGAAAAACGAGAGGGAGAGAGAGCGAGAGAAGAAAATCGCGCTTTTTAGGTCAAGCGCCTTCGCGCTCGCGACACGTACTCGCGGAAAATCAACATCCCCGCACCCCTTTTCACCGGTTTTAATATTATTTTCCGAGGAGCGGGCCGGAAGTGGACGATCATCGCGAGCCACCGACGTCATCCGGAGCCCGAGCAGCTCGCGTCGACTCGACGCGACACGACGAACCCCGCTAATTTTGCCCCCACCCGCCCCTGGAGAGCCCGGTTTTCTATCGACGCGTGCACGTATTTCGAAATATAGGACGGACTATTTCCAGCGTCCATCCCCGGCACTTTGTACCGACCGATCGATCGATCGCTCGCTCGCTCGCTCGCTCTCGTCGCGCGTCTACCGCTCGGTCTATTCCCCCGCTATCAGCTTCTCCCGACGCCGATGCAAATTCGCTTCGGGCGAACTCAACCTGAACGTAATTGCGGCAGCGTTCGCCGAAACGCGAGTTTCATCTTTTTCGACGGTCCGTCTAGAATCCAGGAGCCGAACGCGATGCGAACGAATCGAAACGATCCAGGTGCGGAGTCGCCGATTCGTTTAATCGAACATGCGAACTTACGTGTTTCTAACTGAAACAATATCACGGTTCCAGGAAACGATTGCGAATAGAATTTATGGGTCGTCGAGTAGCTGTCCCTAACCGTTTCTGGAAGAATTATGGTGGACGAAGGCTTATGGAAACGAAGGCTTGGGTAAAGGTTCTCGGTAAAGGTTTCCCGATCGTACGCGTAGAAAGAATTTTCTCCTACCGCTTGTCGGATTATAGGTATCTCGTAAAAGCAAAGTACGGGTATCTTGGAAACCTGCTGCTGCAACAGGCAACTAGGCAACCACCAAAAACCTCGTCGGTTCGGAGGACAAGACCCCTGGAAAAGACTGGGTACATTTGACACAATTTCAACTTTCGCCCGTTACGCGACACAGGGTAGTGTAACCCCCGAGGGAAGTTCGAAGCGTAATTTAAGTTGCCGGAGGGGGTCGAAGAGATAACAAGATCTTACCGGATACCTTTGATATTCTGATTTCGGTAATTTCGCGAGCGTCCATTCGCCAGGCTCGAGAGGTCCGGGGAGAACTTCCGGAAAGACGCGACCCGCGAATTATTCGATCGGAGCTCGATTAAAGGCGCGACGAGCCTGAGAATCGTTTTTCCCGCGCTCGATGGAAAACCACGGCTCTCGGCATTATTCGACGATCGCGTTCGCTCGTCTCGTTTCCGGTGGAACGCGGCGCGACACGACACAGCCCCGGTGCGACGTTTTAAATATTCCTGTCTAGGCGGAGGGCGAGAAGAAGAAGGAATATTTCAAACGGCAATTCATTAAGTAGTTCCATAAATTCTTGCCTTTATTGCGCGTAATTTAACTTCTGGGACTGCGCGCGCGGTGCCGCAACAGCGGACACGAGAGCGGAACAAAATTGTGGAAGGAATTTAACAAGTGGCATACTTCGCGGGCCAGAAAAATGAAACAATATCCTCTCGGTGCCGCGGCATTCGTACCATCCCGACAAAGTTTCCCCGCCGAGCCCGCCAGTAACTGTCCCGGAGTTTTAATCCACTCCGATTATTTTTCCGATAGCGGCTCGATACGCGCCGCGACTGCGACTCGGACTCGTTTTTTTCCGGGACGGTACGGTATCCGTTCCCCTCTCTTTCTCCCTCCGACTCTCTGTTTTTCCTCTCGTCCGGTTCGACCAGACCTTGCAGCGTTACCTTGCCATCGATACAGCTCGTCACGTGGCCGGCCCATTGATATATCCTTCCTGACCGCATCGACGGTGTCGCGTTGTCGATAGTTACACGCGATTATCGTCTGATCGGGTCGTTTCGTTGACAACCTTCGCCCGAACGAGTCGCCTCGACGTCCGAACACAGCTTTCGAACGTTTCTTAAATCGGCGACGTTGGAATCCTGATACGAATTTTCCGATCGACCGTGTAGGAGCATCCGAGAGCGGAGAACGGTTGCCGGATCGCGAACCTCTGTTCGCGTTCTCTCGTTTTTATAAATCGTTTTGTACGATTTAAATTTCCGGAAAGGGAATACGTATCTCGCGTCGCGCGAACATTGGCGTAGATTTACAACGGTTCGGTGACTCCGGCGAAAAGAAAAGCTAAAGAACCGCTGCAATGATTCGTACGCGTTTGTCCGGCTCCTGGAGGACAGAGTTCTCGACGAATTCGAATCGATGCGAATCGACCCTAAACGGGGGATTGCGATACCGCGCGAGCAACGAACCGCGTCCCGTCCCACCGTTCCCAGGGGTGGTTTTCGAGCGGAACGCGCGTTGTCTTTTCAGTTTCGTCATGGCCAGCGGAAGCCAGAAGGCCGCTTTTGCGCGAGTTAACGCGTTCGTGTTGGTTCCCGATTCTCTGTAACGCGGCTTAAAAGCCCCGCTGTCCGCGTAATTGACGTTAATACGCAGATCGTATTACCCGCTTTGTCGCCACTCGTCTTTGTCTTATTCCATGCGCGACTACGATAGCTCGAAAATCATGCCGGAGAGCGTACAACGAAGAATCCGCCTTGCAGATTTTTCAAAATCCGTACATAAAAAGTACCGACTGGCTAGAATCCTCTCGTGAGTCGAAACTACTTTAAATCCGGCACACACGCGCACACAACCCGTTGTTCCAGGAATGACGAGAGTTCAGGTTTAGCTTCGAAAGATGAATAATTCTGTGTTCGAGTATGAGAAGCGTGTATATTCTAGCCGTTAATTAATAGACCGTGGAGCTTTATTAGAAATAACAAGAGGAAAAATAATGTATCCGCGAGTTGCAGGATATTCGAGGTTTCTGGAATATGGTCGTCGAGGGATTTGCAGCGAACCGTACTAGGAGAGGGAGGGGAGAGAGAGAGAGAGAGAGAGAGAGAGAGAGAGAGAATGTGAATTTAAAATCGATGGGGCTCATAAATTAGAAGATTTCGAGGAGCACGGCCCGACACCGTTGTTTCTGTTCGAGAAAGGAGGAACGTAACGGAACGGTCGGCTTTATTATGGACGAAATCCAATCCGCCGGTTTTTTGGACCACGGGGCCCGGTTTCCGTTGGGAGAGCCCTGCTCCCCGCCTACCTGGGCCCCGAGGCAAACAAGACCGACAACCGGCACCGGACCCCTGTGCCCCGACTTGCTCCGATTCGACTCGAGGGGAGAAAAAATGGCCACGGCCACGAGTTCGCAACTGCCCCGAGTCCCAAGTTTCGAGCAGCGTTCGTCGACAAAGGAGATGCCACGCGAGATATAGCGAAGCCGACGCTCCAAATATTTTGCTGAAAAATTCGTGTGCTTCGCAACGAACGCGATTAATCTACCGACGAATTCGGATCTATTCGCGTAAATATACGTATACGAGTCGAATAATTTTTGAACGCCGTCTATATCCGAGATCGAAGTCCGTCTCTGTCCGTCGCGCAACAATTTAGTCGGTTGCAATGCTCCAAATTGTCGGGTTGAAGTTCACGGATAAATATAGTCCACGATTAGTCGGGTTATGCCTGTTGTAAAAACGTCGGGAAAAAAGTGTACGCGTGCTCGAGATCGGAAAAAAGAGGTAGATATGCAAAATTACGTGGAAACGTTTATTAGAGATTAGCTTTTCGAACGGACGGTTCTACGACCGTGGACACGTATAAGCGCAATTAATAATGGATAAGGACCGGCTGAGGCGATTTATCCCGCGATAAGTGTAAGTCACGGTGTAATTTAATCTACCGTCGCATATGTACCAATACGATCCAAATATTTTGAACGGCACGCGCGTAAACAGAAGAAGAGAAACGATAATTATTCGAAAACAAGTTAACGAGTCTGCGATGCTCGATTAATTCGACAATAAGACCGCGTAATCGCGAGACCGGTCTCGCGATACTTTCGAACGACGTTTAAAGTTTAAAGCAACGAAAGCGATAAGAGAGGCGTTTAACGATATCGATCCGAATACATTTCCCAACACTCGAATACCGTATATTTGAGGAGCTAATAGTACATTAAACGGAGATACCGAGAGCAACGTATTTACTTTCACTCCGAAGTCCGGAGTGTCCCTTGTCCAACGCTATGTACGTACGTCTCTCCGCGAGAGAGTGTCCTAACCTCTCTTTCGACGACGCGCGACGCCTCTCGTTCGATGTTCCGACGTTCGTAGCGGTAAACGAGCGAGCAGCCGCTTCCACGAGGCGTGCGTTTCCGCGACGCGAAACACGGTCGAAGACGATACACGTCCACAGATTACTCTATCTTCCCCGATAATTAGTGGCCATCGCGCTCGCAGTCTCCCGGCGACAGCGAACATAACCTCGGAACCGAATTCGACGAACGACGCGCTCGAAACGGCTCCGATTTCGCGTTCGAACCCTCGGTTCCGTCTCGAAACGAAGGACGAACGGGTCCAGAGGCGTCGAACTCGACCAGAGACCCGAGGCGAGTCCCGAAATTGGAGGGCTTTCGGAGCTCGGAGAAAACACTGTGCGTGCGCGTCTTTCGTCGCGATCGACTAGCGTGGTTCGCTTATTATCGGTTAACGAGCATTCGAGAAAGGTTCGATCGATGGCTGCCGTTCCAGCCATTCGAATCGCGAATGAGCAACGTTCGATCGAATACCGAGCACAGGTTGAAAATAGAAAGTAAGCATGGTCCGCGAGAGGCCTGGCGCCTCATATCGAACCGACGCCTTCGAACGTATCCAGCGAAGAGAGGGAACAGAGGGTAGAGAAAGAGGAAAGAGAGAGAGAGAGAGAGAAGAGACGTCTCTCCCTCTCCCTTTCTCTCGCCGCTGTCTCGCGCGAGACGATAGAGAGGTCCTGGCGAACGAAATCACCGAACTACCGACCAACGGAACCGCGAAACGCACGGTTGCTCGTAATATAGAGAAAACGGTCACTTACGGGGTAGTACATCCCTTGCGGAGGAAGAAAAAACGCCCCAGAGCCCCACAGTTTGAGGCCGTTTTGCTCCACCGTTGTGCGAGAAAACAAATCCAACACTCCGTACCGCCTCCCCCTCCACACCACCACCACCACCGCCGCCGCCGCCGCCTCCTCCTGCGCTGCCTCTTCTTCTACCCTGTTGTCCCTTCTCGATCTCTCTCTTCGTTTCGTGCACTGTACGCGACGTTACCCGGCGCGTTTCTCTCTTTCCGTCGCACGTATGTACGCGCGCGTGTATCGCGTATCGCGTATCGCGAATTCCGTATACTATCTATCTATGTATGCGACGCGCGTAGATTTTCGTGTACCGCTGCCGTGCACCAGCGTACGTCCCTCTGTACATATACGCGCGACGAAGAAACACCCGAGCGATACACGCAAGCGAGAGAGATACTCGTGCGTGATGTTTTTGCACGCACCAACACGGGAACACGGACACAGAGGGGCGCGCGCGCGCCGCTGTTAGGCCTCTAACACACTCTCACTCCGAAGAACGGGAACCGAGACGACGCACGACGGCACGATGGCACGACAATCGAACGAAGACGATACGATATACGAGACGAGAGAATCGGAGAGGTTACAAAACTCTCTCACGCGTACCGTTCCAGCGGGACCAGCGCGATTCTGCTTTGTACGCCGCGACCACGAACGCGACTCGAGACGACTCCTCTCTCTCTTTCTGTTTTCTTTTTCGCCGTTTGCTCTCTCTCTCTCTCTCTCTTTCTGCTCTCTACAACTCCTCTCTCTCTCTCTATACCGCCTCCTTCTCTTCCGTTCGTTACTCTCTCTCTCTCTCTCTCTCTCTCTCTGTTAGCCTCTCTGTCTCTTGCTTCGGCTCCTTCGTCCTATTACACGTTCTCTCTCTCTTGCGACAAAATCACGACCGCCACCGAGCGTGGTCCCTCTGCGACTGACGGTCCCGCTCCTCGCCGGCGCCATCGGCGTGCAGCGCCACTGCGCAACCAGCGCCGCGCAGCGGCCGCTGTTCCAACTAGTTCAATCAAACTCGATCGAGGCGGACGCGAAATTCTCTCCTTCTCTCACCCCAACCCCGCTCTCTCTCTCTCTCTCTCTCTCTCTCTCTCTCTCTCTCTCTCTCTCATTGTCGGTCCTCTCTTCGACGAACAAGGAGTTTATGAAAATACGCGCAGCTTCGATTATTCGAATTAATCGAGGGATACGCTACTCTTCCCCGCTCTTAATTTTACAACGAGCGCAAGCCTTTTCTTCAGTTTTCCTTTCTTCGTTAACCGCGTCTCTTTTTTATAATTTTATTTCAGGTTTATCTCGTTAAATATACATCGATGTTTCCGCATTTTGTTCGGGTAAGATAATGCTCTCGAGTCGTTCATCCGGGACCTCTACTGTAATTGTTACAGCGGCAACGGCGAATTCTCCCCTTGTTATTCCTATAGTTTCAATATATGAAGTTGGTACAACTACAAGGTTACTCGTCTTATGTCAGCTCTGGCAACGATACCAAAACAGGATACGCACACATTTGTCTTCGCAGCGAATCGAATAAATCCAAGTCCCCTCGCGACTAAAGCGACGCATGTGGGATGATTAAACGAATTTGAAATCGAATTTTCAAATGAAATATCGTCGAAAGCGATACAGGCCGGATTCGTTCCGCCCTGTTCGGCTCGTTCGCCGTTTACATTCGCGCGGCAAAGGATGCGTTCATCGGATAGAAATTAAGTCAATTTACGTTCGATCGCGTTTCGCCACTCGCCGATCCGTTTCATATTTTTCTTTCGCTCTCCGCGTTCCCTCTGTTTTGGCTGGTTCGAGTTCAACGACGCGCGTAGCTCGCCACAAGCGGGCACTTCGAGCAATTTCGTTTTGGAACGTACAACGTTGCGTCGAGTCGATATATTCTTTAGCCGTGGACGAGAACGTGTTATTTAACCTTTTAGGCACGACGCGTCGCTATAGTGGCTTTCGCGGATGTCATCTCTCTGGACGACGCGCCACTATAGTGGCTTGCTCTAGTAGCTCACTCGCTCATCGTTCGAATCAAATAATCTTCTTCGTATGCATTGTTTCACACTTCTTTTGTCTTCGCATCGATTTAAAACAGTCTACAGGGTGTCCCAAAAATGTCTCGCAATCCGGAATTCGCGGGTTCCTCGGATCATTCGAAGCAACTTCTTCCTTTACAAAAATGTTCTCCGAGGCACCGTTAACGAGTTATCAACGAAAAACAGCGACCAATAAGAATCGAGCTGACGCGAGGCGGCCCAGCCAACCAGCGCGCGAAGCCCGGTTCCGCTCGTTGGCTCGATCGCCTCGCGCCAGCCGAGCTCGCCTCTCATTGGTCACTGTTTTTCGTTGATAACTCGTTAACGGTGCCTCGGAGAACATTTTTGTAAAGGAAAAAGTTGCTTCGAATGGCCCGATGAACCCGTCACTTTCGGATTGCGAGACATTTTTGGGACATCCTGTATATACAGTATCAGAGTCTGTACAGTACACATCAGACTCTGCCGTCCAGAGAAATAGCCTCGC